CTAGAAGAGACAGCACCGAAAAGAACAGGTTTTTAACCCTGGAAATTAATTAATTCATTAGCAGTTTAAGAACCAAGGTATTTAAATTTATAGACAGAAAGAGTATTCCATCAATGTGCAACATTCTTATATGATTAAGAGACGCATTTTGCTTTCCCTTTTTGTAATAACAATTATTAATAGAGATACTCGACAATCATGACTTACAATTTCAAAAAGAATTGGAAATACGTATTTTTGATCGTCAGGAGGGTGAGCTAAGTCATGTGATAGTCGAGCTCGAACATCATGATCTCACATGTCGACTTGTCCCTGTTTTTTTTGCATATTAGCTTAATGAGATTAGATGTTGAGTTAGGTCATAGATGACTACTGGTTTTGGAAAGAACAGTTAAAGCGACTTAACAGGAAAGGCTTCAATTTAAGCGGACTGCCAGCTTTTGTATTAATTCTCCAGTCTTCGTCGGAATCTTTCTCGAAGCCCGTGGTGCATAGTATATTATCTAATCTTGAACAGTCCGGAAACTATATAAGGATGCTGGCGAAAGTCGTTAATGCTGACTTCGAAAATGCTACCTAGTTAGCAAACCAGAAATGAGGCTGAGGCACCTCAGTAAATGTAAAATCACAACGAGGCTGTACTAGAGTGTGATGAACGGGGGTTACGAAAAGGAAATGAGATGAGAAGTTAGGTGTTAAAAGCGATCTACGAAGAGATAAAAAAAGCAACGGGACGCGTGGATAAAAGAACTCCGAGGAAAATAACCATATTAAGGTAGATGCCACTTGCCTTGTTGCATAGGACACGTAAGTTTAAGCTTGAACACTAAAGAGAAGGATTTCACCGTGGCGTTAACAGACACAAGAGAGGAAGACAGTAGCAGGATGCTAGACGAAGTCTCGATTGTTTAAAAAAAAAACAGACAACGCGAAAAATCTGAAGAATTCAATTCAAACGACTATAAATAAATGTGTAATAGACGGCTTGACCGGGCAGGTAAGGGAGGAATGACAAGACACGAAAAGTCTCCCACATTGAACTGAGTACTGCGAAACGCTGTTGCCAGAATACTAGGTCGTGAAGACGGAGTTTCTTCTCCAGAAGACGGAGCTGGTCAAAGTGATTGGAGGGCGGTTAGTTTGAGTTGGCACAGAAGTACGATGGTATTGACAGCGGCAACTTACATACATACAGATGGGTGGTGACGGGAGATTCGAAGACTGTAGAATCAGTGACCTATATTATCTAAGAGAATCTCATACTGCGGTTTTCAATGTAGATATTGTATTGATTTCTTTTCGTTTGCTTTTACGAATAATAATTAATCGTTTACAACTCTTTATTAGTTTTGTGAGGTAACAATTAGTGCACTGGATCGCCCGTTTACCCACCGTCTCAGACATGCAAAAAAAATCTCCGATTCAGCTAAATGTTGCATAATTTCAAGTTTTCACCTTGGTAGTTAAACTCAAGGCCGCAAGATGCCCGTGACTCGGAATCTTGGACTCTCCCTTCCTTTTTGGGCGGTTTCATTCTCAAACCGGCATCCTAATGCCTTTCACACGCTACGTCGTTAGTAGACAGTTTCTCCATTCCCTTTAGTTCTGGTGATATTGAATCGTTCCAACCAACTTTGCGGCAAGCCATGATCGTCGAGCAATAATTGCCTTCACTCAGATAGTTATTGCTCAGCATCTCTCTGCCCTGAACAGTGACAGCTTTCTTACAGGTCAGAGACACCAAACAAAAAGAACCTTGGAGTATACCAGATTCCATGATACTGGTACAAGTTTCCTTGTCTACGAGTAATCGTAGGATCTGGTATAAAGTCGCCAACGGTTCTTTATTTTTGGTGGAAACAAGTTCCCTTTGTTACAGTATCATAGATGTGGTTATAATCTCCAAACGGTTCTTTTTTCGGTGTACGATCATTATGGACGTCCGGATCTCTGTACGCCGTGTCGTAATTCTGGAGAAGTTCTTACGTCAGTCGGTGTACTTTGCGCCCTGTTCGTTCCCAGCTTTTAATCGAATAAATATTGTTTTCGTTTTTTATTTGAGCGGAATCAATTGCTATGGTCATATATCCTGTAACGGTCGTAGTGAATGTTTTCATCAGGGGATGAACGGTGAAGGTCTAATCCCGCAACTGGATTGCAAGATCCGGCATCCGAAAACGCAACATCTGTCGGCTGTGCAAGAATTGGCCCAATGAACGTATCACTTGCAACAAGGCCACGGCCCAAAGCGCAGCGTCACAGGCCCAAGCTTCTAAGCTGGCGACAGTTCCGACGTGAGCAGGTAGTGCCATGTAAGTGGCAAGAGAGGGTCATTTACGGGGTTCGGAACCGGGAAGAGGAAAAAAGATCGTGCACGAGGTTTTGCGGACCTTTTTCTTTTTAAAGTAAATACTGTTGTAAGTGACGATGCCGGAATAGGCCGGGAGATTCGCTAAGGCAGTAATGTCGCGTGGCGGGATCTCGATTAAATGGATCGCGGGTTAGGATCCGGCCTCGAGCTTTGATGTATTTGGGTGCATGCGGGTCTCTCTTCACCTTACATCATCATCATCATCCAAATACAAGCGATCCATCCCTTCATTAATAAGATGATTAATTAATTTCTTGCACAGAGAAGAATGCCATTGTTCATGTAAAGGACAGTTGATGCTAGATAAAAATACAACCAGTTCTAGTAATTCGCCTATGTATTTCGAAAGAACTAACCGATAAAAGCACCTCGACGAAGGCAGGAATTCTCCTCCAGGCAGCAACTGAATTCGACCGTAGCTATCTAGCTGGAGTCGGAAAATTCCTGTCCGCTGTTCCGGGACTAAGGAATCTTCTGAACCAATCCCGTCAGACGCAGTGCAGTGGCGTCAGTTGACACCGCTAAGCCTCCTCAGCCAGTCGTCAGCCCTTTTGATCATACATTTCGCCCACTGTGGTCCACGTGCCGGTCGTCTCCCCGCATTCACTCTTTCCCTTTAACCGCTTTCCATTCGCGGTCGCAACCGTAACTGCGTTTCTTTCGTCGCCTACCGTCGCCGCCAGGCGTCGTGCGGCTTTGCCAGCCCCCGCCCTCCCTCCCGCCCGCACGTCGCGGTCCGCCCGCGGGCGGCGGGGGCGCCGCCGACCGCCGGCCCCCCGCCAGCGCCCCCGTCCCGACGCTTAATGGGTACAGACGCCACCACGGAGCATTTTTGGTTGCGGGGGTGGCAGGGCGGGGGAGGGGGCGGCGGGCGGGTA